GGAAGTATTTGAATGATATAATCTCTCTAAAACTATAGTTTGGAATGAGACCTACATCTTCCCCCTTACTTTCTTTTGAAGCCCAATGACAAAGCATTGAACAATGTAAGTGATATTGCAATTTCAAATATTTTCTTATTTTCCAAAGGTCTTAGTAATAATTAGAATCAAAATGATCCTATTGTACCCTCTGAACTAAACTGTAAGAGGTGATGTGGGGTTGGAACTAATAATCATGAAATGATAAAGGGGCATTTTATTTTTTTTAATGCTGTTATATAGCTCTAACTGTTCAATATGTGACCAGCCTCGAGGAGTTTGTGACAGGCTAAGGTTAGCACTGGCTATGGTGCTTAAAATTATTCGTAGTATTTCTTAGAATTTTAACAGAGCAAAAGCTTTGTGGTTCCTATATGCAAAAACAAAATAAACACTACTAACTTGCAAAACAATCAGTCAAATGGCATTTATTAAATGCCTACTATATGCCAGGCAGTGAGCTAAGCACTGCGGATAAAAAGAGAGGCAAAAAATAAATGTCACAGCTCTCAAGGAAGTTACAGATTAATCAGAGAGATGCCATGAAAACAAGCATGTACAAGAAATATATACTAAAAAATAATTGGTGGTAGTTTCCCAGGGAAGGAACTGAGGTTTCTTACAGAAGATGAGACTTTAGCTGTGACTAGAAGGAAGCTAGGAAGTAAAGAAATGGAGATGAGGAGGTAGAATATTCCAGGTATGAGGGACAGGTAGTGAAAATTCCCAGTCAGCAAATGGATTTTCATGTGTGGAGAACAGCAAGGAGGTTAGTGTCACTGAAGGTTTTGTGGAGGGGAATAAGGAGTAAACAGACTGCGAAGGTAAGAAGGGGCCTGGTTATGAAGGGCTTTAAGAAGATTTTCTATTTGATCCTGTACTTAAAGGGAGACAGTGGAGTTTATTGAATAGGAAAGTGATATGGTCGGATCACTTTGACAGTTGAATGGAGGATGGAATGGAGTGGAGAGAGGGAGACTTACAAGGAGGCTATTGTAATATTTCAAGTATGATGTGACAAGGACCTCCACTACAAGTTGTGGTAGTGTCAGAGAAGAAAAGGGGCCATATATGAAAGATGCTCAACTTTACAATGAAGCAGAATGTGAAATGAGCAAGATAGCTTGTGAGCCTTGGTGTCTGGGAGGATGATAATACCCACCATAGCAGGAATAGGGAAGCTAGGGAAAAGAAAATCTTTTCAGTTTTGGAAATGTTGAGTTTATGTGAGGATATTAAAATGAGGGATTGTCCAGTTCTTTGAAACTACATCACACTAAAATAGTGCTGAGATTTCCTGTATTATTCAGAATAGAGGGTGCCTACTAATGTTAAGTGACCAATGGCTATAATTATAGTTGGTAGAAGGTGGGGAGGAACATTTTACAACCACATTCTGCTGTGCCTTGGTGAGTGTTAGGTTTAGAAGGAATTCCTGCTAATTGACGTATTATTTTAGGCAACTACGATTTTAGGAAGATAACAATAATTGCCATTATTCCACTAAATTCCTCCTCCAATGTTTCATCTTGACTTGGGAGGTGATCCTACAGTATAGATGACTATTTTAGGAGGTTGCGTTAGGACCCAGTGGGAAGGTATTGTTTAATCACTTCAGGTTTCATGGAGGACGAAGGATTTCTAAAAAGGCAAGTCAAGAGTTTGGCAGAGTTAAGTCTTTAAAGATCCCTGTACCGTACTCTAGGTAGATTAAGTGCCCTTCAAATATTGTCATCCTCACCTTATTTCTTTTTTTGTTCATACTATTCTTTGCAACTGGAATGCTATGTATTTACTCCACTCCTACCACCCCCACATCTTCTTATTAACATTCTACCACTCTTTCAAGATCCACAGCACAAATATTGACGGTAATTTTTTCTTCATTGGATCTCATAGTCTTCTGTTGCTGTTTTTTTTTATTCACTTGTAGTTTTCTTTGTCCATATGGTTTATATATTTCCTGTACCTAGCATCATTAATACTCCATTGAGTCTGTAATACTATTAGTGTGAGTAATCCCTCTACTGATGACATTTACAACTCATTCATGATTTCTTATCCCATGTGATTCTTGTCCATGTTTTTCTGAAAATCCTTCATAGAAGATCCACTCAAGACATTGGGGGTGTTAATACCCTATGGCTAACAGTGCAGCACTAGCTTCCGGGCTATCAATCTGTTATTCTTCATTCTCCCTTTGTGATTCACCCACCTCCTTTTCTAGTCATATTTGTTACTCATAGTGTTTTATGCTATTTCTAGCATACACATCAACATGGATAATATGCACATCTCTAGGTCCTTAATTAATGTTTGCTCACTGATGGAACAAATGAATGACAGCAGTTAGAATGTAGGTTTGTGACTTTCCATTCTTCCTATCCAGTAGTCTCCTCCCTTGATAAGCCTCTAAAAAGGATAGATACTGTATCCTGAGAACAGTGAGGAAGTAAGGCAAATACAGTATGAAAGAAGAAAGGCAATATGTGTAGCTAATAACACTAGTGATTGTACTTAGCCTCTCACTTACTTTGAAGCTACTTGTAAAATCAGGAAGAGCCCAGCCTTCTGTGCTAGTATTATAAACTGGTCCTTATACTATAGCTGTAGACTTGAGCATGTTGAAAGGAAAGAGTAATTGTCAGGTGAGGCCTCTTTTTTGTCTTAGCATTGCAATTCTGAGTTGTCTGGTTACGTTGATGGTTTTCTCTATGTCTGAATTTGTTTTTCAATTTGTTTTGTGTATCTCTTGGGAATATCTTGTACTCTGTGCTAGGTTTGAAGCTGCTTGATATATTAAGAATAAAATTAGCCAAAGGGCTAGAAAAATGTTGATGTTATGTCATAAGACCAGTGGTATTTGGAACCCCTAAAAACAAGTCATGTGATCCTGACCTCCAGTGGTGGTGATTCCATAGTAATATTGTACCACATTATCAAATCTCCTTTCCTCAATGAATAATTATTATTTTTCTATATTTCACGTAGCTTCTGTGTTTGTGGTATCTCACTCCACTCTTCCTCCCACTACCCATGACCACACACTTGTGCTCTCGCATATGCTCACATACACAAAGATAAAACACAATTGTGAAATAAGGCAAAAAGGCTGAATGATAAGCAATTTTTTAATCTATGATTTTATAAGCTTCTGAGGAGCATTATAAGCATGTTTCATGAATTAATATATTTAGCTCAGAAATAAAACAATTTCAATGATGGATGGAGGGCAAAGAAAAAATGAGAACACAAGAAACAATTTTAATTTACCAAGCCAATGAAAACCGAATTCTTGAGGAGCAATGGTCCTCTATCCCTCTTATAGTCCTCTCTAACTCACAAAGGACCTCATGATAAACATAGAAATGCCTATATTCAGACCATAGATGTTGAGGCCATGTCTCCATGAGATGATCATTTTTCAACCATGCTATTACTTCATAGCAGTATTCCTTCTTCCATCCTATTCTCTCCATTGCCCAATATTCTATAAAACTGAAACAAAACCAAAAGAACTTTGGGAACTTATTCTTGTCTTCTGTGGGAGATACACTGCAACTCAAATGAGGCACTCAAAAATAGGCCTACAGATCTCCTCCTCATCCTAACGATAATAATGGTATATTTATACAGTGCTTTATATTTTAGAAAGTAATTTCACAACCATTATCTCAATTTATTCTGAGAAACGCTTATTAAGCCAGCAGATCAGTATATTGTAGTAGACAGAAGCCTAGCTTTTCAATAAGAGGATGATGAGGATTCGGTGATGAATGTGTCAGATCTGGTTTGTTACTTCATGTCCTCTATTATCACTAGGGTCTATAATAGACCTAAATTTTTAATCTTTATTTTACTTATGAGGAAACCGAAGCTTAGAGAAATGATGTGAGTTGACTAAAGTTTTATTATAATCAATAAGTATCAGAACCAGGACCCATGATCAAGTCAGAGTTTGGATTCCTGGTGCATCATAACACACTGTCTCTATTCTTGATTTACTATTTAATTGATCAGTAATTATAATAACAATTCATATTAGTTATAAATATATATAGGGCTTTAAAGTTTACAAAACTATTTTTGAAACATTTTGCTGATTTTCTGGCCACTGAAGTCCATTCAGAGGACTCCCCAGTGTCAGTGAAACCTGAAGTCCTAAACTCTGATTTTGTGATGGCTTCTCTTTTCTAATTCTCTTTTCCAGAGTAACACTTTACTATTTGTGTTTACCCATCCAACCTTTCAGGAATGCTTTTGATAATAACAATAACAACAACAACAACAACAGCAATCTTTTCAAGCAATCTTTCAATTGCGAAAGCAATATCTTTTCATTTCTTCTGAATCTTCTACCATGCTTATGCACTATTCTATACTTCCACTATGCATTCAGTAAATACTTAAGTGAATGAAAAAAATGAATTTTTAACTAGTGAAATTAAAAACAAAACTGACAAATTTGTCAGTCACATCTAAGATTTTAAATTATAGAGATAATCATATTCATCTTAAGCTAACTACAGGTTTTATTGATATCAATGCAAACTTCTATGGAATACTTTTTCATACAATAAGGATGTAAAAAACACGTCTGTCTCATTGCTATTTTCGATTCCAGTTTTGCTCTATGAGAAATGAAGCCATCCACATAAGTACAACTCAAACAAAGAGCTCTATCTAGACGAGTAGACTGATTCTATATGGCCTTCTACTCTAAAGGTCTCTGTAGTTTTATAATGAGGTAGACAAAGGGTGCTGGAAATTGTAACAAAGCAGACTCCAGGTACCTTTGAACTCTACCAATCAGTAGGTCAGAAAATCATGAAAACAAGGGTTGTTAGAAAATCTTTGCTGTCAGGGACTACACTCATGAACCCTCAGTAGTCAATCTTTCTGTCTACATATGCCCTCACCTCTCCCTCTGCTAGAAGTCACCTGTCTGACCAGCCTACATCAAAAATGTAATATCATCATGATTCTATGAATATAGAGGTGTTCTAATCTAATATTATTTTAACAGGTTTAATAATTTCATTTATTCCCTTAAATATGTGTAATAGCATTTTTCTGACCTTGTTACTAACAATATTAGGTATGAAAAGTGAAAGAGGAATCCAACTTCTATTCATTTTCTATATTCTGAATCCTAGCACATGATTGACAAAATCATTTTTTAAAAATGTTGCCCCCTCCCCCAACCCCCAAAAGTAAAGAGGCTAAAAGTTTGCATAAGAAAACACACGAAAGCAAAATCTCACCCTTCAATGTATAAGAACTGCTAGGTTGGCTGAAGTGTCTCGACTAGTTTCTACTGTGCAACAGATATCATCTTTCACACTGCATTAGGTTTAGAAAGATATTACATAACCATAAGTCAATTTGTTTTCTTCCACTTGTGGCAGTATTGCTCATCAAATAGACTGTTTAGGAAAAGCCCACAGAGTGCTGCTATAAACAGCCAGCACCTCTGCTCCCCAAATACTTGCTAATTAATCTCAAAAAGAATCCTGTCCCATCGTTGTGGGGAGTCTTCTGTTATCATTTTCAACTTCTATATTAATACACCTATTTATAACAAAAAGTTCTACCACACCTTCTCCATTGCCTCATTGTGGTACAGGGGTGACCATGAATTCACTACAGTAATTCTACAAGCTCTGGCAGGTCCTTCCAAGATTGAGTTCATCAGTAGACCGTGTATCTCTCATTCCAGGACCAGTCTCATTAGGTGTGGTGAGGGCTCATCACCTTTGAATATCAGCAGATGATTTATTTTTTGACCATGTCAGCTCCCGAAGACAGAGTCATTTTGACCACATTAATGGTGAGAGTATCCATTCTGATAAAATCAGATTCTTGAAGTCATAGGGTTATAGGTTTAGGAGCTGGAAGAGATGCAAGAGATAAATGGTATACATCATTCATTTTAGAGATAGGGAAATAGGCACAGAGAGGTTAAATGATTTGTGCAGGGTCACATAGCTAGCAAATGTTTATTAGTTGGGATTGGAACCCAAATCTTTGTGTTAGTGAATCTAATGCCCTATGCACTATGCCATGCTGAAATCTAGATCAGAGATATTTTTGTTTTAATCGTAGAGGATTTGAGGGTGTTAGCCTCCTGGGAGTGGGTCAGAAGGAAGAAAATATGAGGGATGGGAAATGACTTTTAATAATTTCATGGTTTTATACAGGATTGGTTTCTTTACCTCTTCCTCTCTTCCCCTTCTCCCCCAAAAAAGTAGTGCGGTGCTTTGCACACAGTATGTACTCATTAAATTACTGCTAAATGAATGAATGATGGTGGGAAAGAAGGTAGTTAAAGATAGAAACTAATTTGTAGGCAGCATAAAATAGTAGAAAGAGCACTAGAATTATCATCAGAAAACATAGCTTTGGATTCCAGGTCTATTAATTGCCATCTGTATTTCTGTGGCAAAATCATTTAAACTCCTTGTATCTCAGTTTATTTTTCAATGGAGTCAGTGGATTGGACTAAATAACCTCTGAGATTGCTCACATCTCTAAATCTGTGATCCTATGATCCCAAGTAGGCTTCACAGATAGAATAATGTAGGTCATGGAAGCAGGTGAGATCACCCAGAGAGTGTGGAAAGAGAAGTTGGTTGGATTAATTGAGCAGAAGAGAAGACTAATGACAGAACCTTGGCAAGTGTGAACTGGTAGAAGAGGGAAGAAATTTTGAACAAGAGGTTACAGTGAAGCCAAAGGAAGAGTCCAGATTGACTGAGATTCTAGGAGGGCTGAATGAATAAGAGGTTGTTAGAGAATTTCAGGGTTCAGATCTTAGGTGCAGAGTAATTTCAAATAATAGCTATGAATGTTTTAGTAATTAGGTGAAATAGAACAAAGGAGAATGTCATTTAGAACTGGGTGATATGAGGGATGGTGCAGCATAGGTAGGTTATCATGAATGTGAACACAAAGATACTAAAGACAATGTCAAGGCTTTTTGTTGAGAGAAAGTAAATAAGCCAAGAGCTAGTCATTACAGATAAGTAGAATAGCTGGTAAATTGAGAGATGACAGCAATGAGAATTTACAGATGTTTATACAAACAAATGGCATGATTTTAAAAAGAAAAGAAACTATTTACTAACAGTGGCAAAAAAGATCCAGAAGTGGCATTAGATAACAATGAATATGTTAATTTCTCCTAGACCTGTTAAATCCTAAGTACTAGAAAAAGGGTCAGCAATTGAAAGGAGTGCCAGAAAATTGACATCTTAAAAAAAAAAAAAAGAACCATAGCAACTAATGAGAAGAGTTAGGAACACAAGAGGAAGACATTTAGGATGAGGTGAAATTTAATTAAAATTAGAAACAAGAGTTTCAGCTCACACAGTGGAAGAAGATAGTAAAGTAGTGTCCAAAGGATAGTAAGGGCTGAGAAGGGGTGTGCTTATGCTATCTAGGAACAACAATAGTGAAGAATTATCAAGAAGAAATTGTTTACACCCACATTTGTGCTACTTGAGAAGGGGAAAAGGAATAGTTAACTGAAAACCTTTTAAAATCAACCAGACCCCAGGTACCAGTTAGAATGCTTTTGTGGATGGAAGGCTTTCCCAGACTTGAATCTCACTGGACAATTTCTTTTGGCTTGATGGTATAGGCCGCAAGGCAGATTTTCCTTGTGATAGAAGGGCTTCTGCTACTGGTGAGCTTTCCCAAGCTGTATGTTCACAGGCAAATTTCCTCCCATCTGAAGGTAGAGCCTGCAAAGCAACTTTTCCAAAAGGGTGAGGTGTCTCAGCTGGTTGTGGACCTTCCCAGACTGGACTACCAGAAGTGAGTTTCTTATGTGACGATTGTGGGGGCCAAACGGCAGCTTTTCCATGAAGTGGAGGAGCCTCAGGTTGTTGTGAGTTTACCCAGATTGCACTTTCACTGCGGAATTTTCCTTGGACCAATGCTGAGTGCTGAACTCCAACTTTTCCATGAGAAGGAGGATTATAGGTTGACTGGGAATTCTCCCAGACTGAACTCTTACAGGTGAATTTCCCTCGTCCTGCTGGTATGGGCTGGACAGCAGATTTTCCATGGGGAAGGGGAGATTCAGCTGGCTGTGAACCTTCCCAGCCTAGGTTGTCATTTGTGCATTTCCCTATACCTACTGGTTGGGGATGGAGAGTCATTTTTACATGAGGATAGGTATTACCAACTGCTTGGGAATCATCCCAGCCTGAATTGTCACAGGAGAATTTTCCTCTCCCTGCTGGTGGGGGCCAGCTTGCTGTTTTTCTGTTGGAGATGCGATTCTTATCTGATTGTGCCTCTTCCCAGGCTTGGTTCTCATAGGTAAATTTCCCACTGCAAGATGATGTTTGTTGAATGATAGTTTTTCCATGAGGGAGAGAAGTCTCAGTTGGTTGTGCCCGGTCACATTCAGGATTATCATAAGTTAACTTCCCTTTCTCTGACTGTGGGAGTCGAATGGCTGGTTTTCCAAAGGGGTAGGATATCTCAGCATTTTGTGAACCTTCCTTGCCTGAACTTTCACAGGTGAAATTCCCTTGGGTGGCAGTTTTTCCAAAGGAATGGGAAGTCTCTGGTGATTCTGAGCCCTCCCATAATGGAACTTCACACGTCAATTTTCCTTGGCCTGCTGGTGGGGGCCAGACAGTTCCTTTTCCACTACGGAGTGGAATTTCAGTAGGTTTGGAACCTTCCCAAACTGATTTATCATAAGTAAATTTCCCTAGACATGATGGGGAACGATTGCCAGTAGCTTTTCTAAAAGTTAAGGAAGTCTCAGCTACTTGTGAACTTTCCCAAAGCAATTTACCATGTGTAAATTTCTCTAGATAGGACGGTGAGTGTTGGAGGGTAGATTTTCCATGAAGAGTTTCAGATGTTTGTGAACCTTCCCTTAGAAGTTTCTCAAAAAGTAATTTTCCTCTGCCTAATTGAGGACGTTTGTTGTCAGTTTTCCCAAAAGGATAGGTAGCCCCAACACTTTGTGAACTTTTCCGCTCTGGACTATCACAGGTGAATTTCTCTCTGCCTAATGAGGAACTTCTTACATTTTTTCCAGTAAGGGGAGTTTCACCTGATTGTGAGCCTTCCTGCATGGAATGGTCATTGGATGATTTTCCTCGGCCTAATGATGATAGGAGGGTGGTAGACTTTCCTTGGACATTTGAAGCTGTGATTGGTTTTGAACCTTCACTAGCTACATTCTCCCAGTTGAATTTCCCTCGGTTTGATGGTGGGGGCCAGATTATAGGCTTTTTATGAGAGAGGATAATTTCAACTGGTTGTGAACTCTCATGGCCCGAGTTCTCAGATGTAAATTTTCTTCGGCTTGAAGGTAGGGGTGTGACTGTTGCTTTTCCATGAGGATGGGGAGTCTCAGTTGGTTGTGGACCTTCCCAATCAGGATCCTCACAGTTGAACTTCCCTTGACCTGATGGTGGGGGCCAAGCAGAAATTTTTCCTGAGGGCTGGGAAGTCTTACTTGGTTGTGAATCCTCCCTCCCTGAACTCTTACTACTGAATTTCTCTTGGCCTAAACGTGGGGGCCAAACAACAGCTTTTCTAGGAGGCTGGGAAGTCTCAGATGATTGTGAACCTTTCCAGACTGGACGATCATTTGTGAATTTCCCTCGACCTGATGCTGGAGGTTGTACTGTGTTTTTTCTATAAGAGATGGGGGTCTCACCTATCTGTGTTCTTTTCCACCCTGGATTCTCAATGAGGAGTTTTCCTCGACTTGGAGGAGGGGGCCAAACAATAGATTTCCCATGGTAATGGAAAACCTCAGTTGAATGTGAACCTGTTGGACTTTCATAGGAGAATTTACTTCTGTTTGATGGTGGGGGCCAGAGTGCAGCTTTTCTACGAGTTAGGGTTGTCTTAGCTGGCTGTGAACCTTCCCACAATGTACTGTCACGAATGAGTTTTCCTCTAGCCAATGGTGGGAACTGCATATTAGGTTTCCCATGGGACAGGGGAATCTCAGGTGGTTTTGATGTTCCCCACATTGGATTCTCATGGATGAACTTTCCTCGGATCAATGATGGGTGCTGGTCAGCAGGTTTTCCATGGGAGAGTGAGATCTCATGTGGTTGTGCACCTTCCCAGACTGTGTTCTCAGATGTAAATTTCCCTTGGTTTAATGGTGTGTGCTGAATGGCAGCTTTTCCCTGAGGGAGTGGAGTCTCATTTGGTTGGGATCCTTCCCACGTTGTACTTTCACGGCTGAATTTCCCCCTCTCCAGTGATAGGTGACGGACACCAGCTTTTCCATGGGAGAGGGTAATCTGACTTGGTTGTGAGTCTTCCCAGGTTTTATTCTCACTACTACATTTCCCTCTACCTAATGGTATCTTCTGAATGATGGCTTTTGCACGAGGCATAACACTCTCAGATTGATGTGAGCCTTCCCAGAAGTTTCCTCGGCTTGGTGGTGGGGGCCAGACTGTAGCTTTTCCGTGGGGAAGGCTCGGAGAATCAGTGGACTGTGAGTTTTCATAGCCTGGACCCTCATTAGTGAATTTCCCTTGACTTGATGGTATCCGCTGGATGGCAGCTTTTCCGTGGGTTGAGGGTGTCTCAGTTTGTTGTGTACCTTCACAGGCTAAGCTCCCATGGGTACATTTATCATGATCTGATGGTGAAGGCCACATGGCACCTTTTCCCTGAGGAATAGGAATCTCAGTTGAATGGGAACCTTCACAGACTTGACTTTCAGAAGGGAATTTCAGTTGGCCTGACTGTGTATATATAAGATTGACATGAGAGACGGCCTTTTCACTCTCCTTCCGCGGGTAATGTAGATAGTTACTCTGAGGCAATGATGCATGACTCTTGAAACTTTTGTGTGGAAGCATTATTCTTCAAGATATGTCCTGAAAAAAGAAAGAAACCCACAATATTTAAAGGGTCATTTCTTCATTTCCCCCTGCCCCCTCTTCTTACCATATGCATCCTTTGCATCCTCCCATGGTATAAATGACAAGGCAAAATTCTTTGCTAACACACTGGAACATTTATGTGTTGTTTTTTTTAATATGAATTATTTGATCCAAGAAGAAAATTAAAACCATGTTCCAATCTTTTTAGCTTTCTGGGTACCAGTATTTCTCCTCAGGTATATCATATGTAAACTAAAAGTTTTAATTAAAATCAAGTTTAAGGAATATTCGGAGGTAGGAGGAAGATTCAGGAATCAATAGGGTAATATTTACACTGCCACTGGCCAAGATTGAAAAGTCAGGCTAAGAAAGCCTCTGTTACTTAATCCTAGTGTAAGTTATTCTAACTTTTCCTGTTATCTGATATGATTTCAATTATAGGTCTTCCATTTATGAGTTCAAAGACCACAGACCACAGAAAAGTCACATTTTTGGACCTAATGTTCTCATTTGTAAAATGAGGGATTTGAACTTGATGACCTCTAAGGTTCTTTCCAGTTCCAAAACTATTATCCTATAAGTGTAATCTCTTCATTCTTTTTCACCCCTTCCTTCTTAGAGTATTCACTGAAACCTAGTTTTTTCTTCAAATCAATAAATCTTGTGTCTTCTCTAAGGCTAGCTATACTTTCTCTCATACTCCTTTACACATAGCAAGAGAGAGAAGTTGGCATATTCCTTGTTCCCCATTGACCCTTTCAGATCCTTCCTTAGCCATTAGCACCTAGCAACCACCTTTAAAGTTTTCTTTATCCTTTCTAAATATGTTGTTATTGTCTGTGGACTTCTCTCAGGTACTCTCATTTTTCACTATCAAGTTCAGGAAAAAGCAGCTTTACCACTGCCACTGCCAATACTTCACGTGCCCCAGATTTTGTGATTGGTATTTGCATCTACGACGTGCCCTGTATATTCTAATTTCCTAATGTCTCTGACCATCCTAGCTAGTATAGGCTATCACTTCATATGTAGATTATTATTATCATCTCTAGTAACTGGTCTTCAGCCTGCTTAAAACTCTTTAGAATATCCCACCAGATCAACATTCAAGTGACTCAACCACCTTAAAAATCATCAATGGCTCCATATTGACAACCCCCTTCTGAAAATATCTATCTGTCTATCCTTTCATCCACCCATCTATCTATATTAGATAATCCTCATGACAAGTCTGTGAGAAATATTAGAGGTATTATATGTGAAGAAAACTCGACTCAGAAAAGTTAAATCATTTGCCAAGGACTACCATGTCAGAGGCTAACCTGGGTCTCTTCCCACCTCATGTCCAAGGCTTTTTTGACTATCCAGTGTTCCTCTGAAGTCACTACATTTTTTTTAACATAACATGACACTGTCTCCCTTTGCTCCCTTGTCACACATTTCTACTCATTGCACCCCTCCCAACTGTATCTATATTTTTCAATCTCTAGATGTAGGAATCTACATATTCCCTATTTCAGAACATTTGCACAAGCCATATCTCTTGCCCAGAATACTGCTCAACTCTTCTTTTCCAATTGTCTAAATCATAGCCATCCTTTAAAGCTTGCCCTTAAAGTTTCTATAAAACTTTCTCATACCAACCCTGACCATAAAGATCTCTCAATATTCTGAGCTTATATTGGGTAGACAACATATTGGCCATTATTCATTCATTCATTTGACAAATATGCACATATTCATATGGACTAAGTGCAATTCATTGACCTCTTTCATAGGATCATAGATTAAGAATTGAAAAGAAACTTAGAGACCCACTAATACAATCCTATTGTTTCACAGATAAAAACAAAACAAAGAAAAACAAACAAAAAAAGTGAGGCCCAGAGAGATAACATGACTTGCCCAAGGTCACAGAGAAAAGAAATGGAAGTGCTAGGTTCTGGGAAATAAACAAAAATGAGTCTAATCCTTCTCCTCTAGGAGCTTAAGGTATAGTCACTGGTCATATGACATAGACACTCATAAGCATAATGGAAATTAGAACAGAAAAAAGTTAATGAGGGTATGACATGATAAATATCTATTATATGTTACTTTGCATTATTATTTTTTAAAATATATTGACGCTTTATCAAATCAATCAATACTATATATTTAATAAATATCTATTCTCTCCCAGGCATTGTGGTAGGATCTGAGGATAAAAAGACCAAAAAGAAATTGTCCCCATCCTCAAGGAGCTAACATTGTATTAGAGAAATACAATATTTACCCAAATAAGAACATAGAGAATAAATGCAAAGTAATTTCAAGGAAGGGTCAAGAAGTTGGGGAATCAGAAATGCCTCTTGGAACTGAAATCATCCTCCTCTGGACAGAGGTGATGGACTTAAACATGCTGAATTAAGGCATACATTTTCAGACATAACCAATGTGGGAATTTGTTTCTCTTGACTATACAGACTATACGTATTTGTTACCATGACTTTGTTTTCCTTTCTTTTTGGGTTTTTTTTTTTTGTAATTTGGGTTGATAGGGGGTCTAGAAGTATAGGAATAAGACAATTAAAAAAAAGAAGAAAAGAAGATTCTAAAGACAACTTTTTTTAAATGTACAAAATAAACATAGAAGGAAGCCAGAAAAAGGCAAAACCCAGCAGGACAGGTTTGGAAGCTGTAGGTTGAACTTAAAATATAGGTTATATGGTTTATTATATATTTATGTATACGTATATGTATATGTATATGTATATGCATATATGCAGGTGTATGCGTGTATGTATGTATGGTTTTATAGTATATATGGCAGCTAGGTGAAGCAGTGGAGACACTACAGGGCCTAGAGTCAGGAAAATGAATCTTCCTGAGGTTAAATCTGGCCTCAGACATTTACTAGCTATGTGACCCTGAGCAAGTAACTTAACCCTGTTTGCTTCAGTTTCCTCATCTGTAAAATGAGCTTTGGAAGGAAATGGCAAACGAGTACAGTATCTTTGCAAACAAAACCCCAAATGGGGTCACAAAGAATCAGACAGGAAAACAACAGCTATTATACACACACATATACACACCTATAGTTGTGTGTATATGTGTATATATACACACAAATATAAGTATATACACATGTGTATGAGTATGTTTATATATACATACAATGGAGATCTTGTTTCATATAGGACTTTTTTTCTTTTCTACTATGTATACGAAATGATCCACACACAAACCCTATGAGAAATGTTTGTTAAGTACAGAATGTAAATAAATCTTAAGAAAATGAGCATCCTTGTATATGAAATGGTGGTGTTTGAACTGAGCTTTGAATACAGATAGGAATTCCAATAGTTGGAGGTAAAGATGATGTGTATTCCCAGTGTTGGGGACAGTGTATATAAAGCTATAGATACAATATGGAATGCCATGTATGAAGAACAATAAAGACTGTTTAACTATTTAAGTCCCTTGGAAGGAGGCTAGAAGAGAAGAAATGCAAACTAAAACAACTCTGAGGTACCATCTCATACCTATCCAATTGGCTAATATGACCAAAAAGGAAAATAATAAATGTTGAAGAAGATGTGGGAAAATTGACACACTAATGCATTGTTGGTGAAGTTGTGAACTGATCCACCCATTATGGAGTGCAATTTGGAACTAAGCCCAAGGGGCTATAAAACTGTGCATACCCTTTGATCCATCAATACCACTGCTAGGACTATATCCCAAAGAGATCATAAAAAGTTAAAAGAAACAACATATGAAAAAATATTTATAGCAGCTCTTTTTGTGGAGGCCAAAAATTGGAAAGTGAGGGGATGCCCATCAATTGAGGAATGGCTGAACAAGATGTGATATATGAATATAACGGAATACTATTGTGCTATAAGAAATGATGAGCAAGCAGATTTCAGAAAAATCTGGAAAAAACTTACACACACTAATGCTGAGTGAATTGAGCAAAGCCAGGAGAACATTGTACACAGTAACAGCCACATTGTGTGATGACCAACTTTGATAGACTTAGCTTTTAGCAATGCAATCATCTAAGACAATTCTAAAGGACTCATGATGGAAAATGCTGTCCATATCCAGAGAAAGAACTGTGGAATCTGAATGCAGATTGAAGCATACTATTTCCCCTCATTTTTTCTAGCTTATTGTTTTTTCCCTTTTGCATTGACTCTTCTTTCACAACATGACTAATGTGCAAATATGTTTAAAATGATTGTACCCATATATCAGATTACTTGCTATCTTGGGGAAATGGGATGGGCAGGAGTGGGGAGGGGCAGGAGAGAGGAAGCAAAAAATTTGATACTCAAAATCTTATAAAAGTGAATGTTGAAAACTATCTTTATATGTAATTGGAAAAATAAAATACTATTAAGTGGAAAAAATAAAAAAAATAGAAGAGAGGATGTATGTTGCAGAGAAGTAAAAGATTCTATTGGGATCATTAAAGTGAAGCTGTATTGTTCATCTATTTAACACCTGACATTTAGCATCTAGCTAGGTGGTCCTCAAATTTTTGGTAATTGCCTCATATATCTCCAGTCTTTAATCTATTCATCAACTGCTGCCAATTTTATATTTCTAAATCATGAGTCTGACAATGTTTCCCCCTTGTTCAGGAAGTTTCAGGACAAAATACAAACTCCTATTTGACATTTTAAGCCTTTCACAATTTGGGCTAAACTATATTTCTGGTTTCATGTTACATTATAGCCCCTCATACATTCTATGTTTCAGCCAAATTGCTCAACTTGTGGATCTCCATACTGGGCTGTTCATCTTCCACCTCCATGACTTTGTCATGGCTGTTTCATGACTGGAGTGTATTCTCTCCTTAATTTTACTCTTGGAATCCCAAGATCCCTTCAAATCTCAGCTCAAGTTCTATTTTCTATATGATGCCTTTCCTCCATCCCTAACCTTGTGTTAGTGATCTCCTCACTCTACCCTCAAATTACTTTCTATTTATTTTGTATATATTTCCATCTATTTGCATACACACATATGTATATATGTACATACATGCATATACATACACACCTATACAGTTCTCAACTCCACCCTGGCTTCCATTATAATGTGGCCTAGAAATAGCTTTAGTTATGACTCATATCCCTGGTACCTGGCATAGGGCCTTGTGCATTGCAGGTATTTAATAAATGCTTCTTGAATTAAATTAAATTGAATTGAATTGACTAATTCATATGTCAAATTTTGCTTTTTGTGGACATAAACTCATATACCTCCATAGAAAATCCTAGGTTAAAGTTTATAGGTTACTCTGAATAATTGAGTAGATTCCTCTCATTTTATAAATGAGGAAAATGATATAGAGCAGTGAAACCACCTGTCTGAAGTCAAACAAATAATAAATACTTGAACTGAAGTTCAACCTAGGTCCTCTGACTGTAGAGCCAGAGTCTTTCCAAAATTAAGCCTAACTGTCTTGGCATGTAGGTTGGCTTCTTTACTTTTCAAGAGTCTTATGATCTCTCTAGATGCTGGCCACCATGCAATCTGGCATGATTGCACTCAATGCAGTTCACCCAATTCCTTCCTCACAAACAAGCATGTTTGTGTGTTTCCTATATAGCATTCAACTTAACATTAATCGGTTTAGAGACATTTTAGCTTGAAGACAATTATGCAAATCATCATACATCAAAATGGAAAAATAGACCAATCAGGTAATTATTTTGAATGTGGAAATGACTGCTTTATCAAATCCTAACAGTAATTGACACAACTCAATCTCTTCAGAAAAAAGTACACAAATAAACATTTTCAAGATGGGCCAGAGTTCATCAGAAGAAGAACAAACATATGAGAGTACATGCATGAATGCACAAGCATATACATACGTACAAGAGCAAGGCAGAAGTAGAGACTGCACATTAAGGTAAAAGTACTTCTAAGAAAATAAGACATATCTGTAAAATACCTTTCTCAGAGTCCTATCCCATCGATCTTGCTGGGTTGTGTCGCAGCTCCTACATATGCAGGAAGAGGAATCCAGGGAACCTCTAAACAACTAAGTTCTGAGGAACAGCAAGCTCCTGAAGAGAGAGATCTAAACTCTAGAATAGAGTGAAGCCTCTCAAAGCTTTTTCAAGGCATCCTTTGAGACGCAAGGGAATTCTTTCCAAAGGGCTGCCTATTATATGTAACTAGCCCCACCTTGCCTCATTTTTTTTAAAGTTCTGATAAACCTTGAAAAATATACAAAATATTATTGGCATCCCAGCTTTGCTTTCCCATGGCAGGATGTGGTAAAAAATGTTCTTTGTTGTATCATTTCTTTGCTACATAGGCTTGACCTTGCAAACATTTGTTTCTTTTCTACTTAACTGCAAAAAAAAAAATTCTTTTAGATCAATCATGTATCTCATTTAAGGAATTTAAAAAAAAACTTTAAGAGAAGGATACAATATAGGGATTCCGTCATGTCAGATTCTGATCCATAATGTGTACTTATTCAACATCTAACAAATATTTATTATTGATTACTACATGTCATGGACTGTGCTAGGCACTGTGGAATATACCATGAGACAGTGTTGTATAATAGAAAGAGTACTGAATGTGGAGTGAGGAGGGACTCATGTTGAAATTCTGCCTGTGAGACTTAACTAGCTAATCCCATGGAAGTCATTTCAACTTTCTGAGCCTCAATTTTACACATTTGTAGAATAGAAATAGTGATAATAGTTATAGTTCCCACCTCACAGGGTAGTTATAAGGATCAAATGGTATAATGCCTATAAAGGACATGAAACTTAAAGTACTTGGTAAACACCCAGCTATTATTTAAAGGATACTTTAGAGTTCATTAGGCATAATATGCTACTTCCCCAAATTCTCTGCATCTGTCCCAGTCTCTCTACTTAACCTGGCTACCACACAATTCAGGTCCACATCACCTAAACCAAAGTTCTCATGACATTTCATCTACAGAATGTCAGTGGTCCCCTCATAATTCTCCCTGCCTGATGTCTACCCCCAACCTCAGTATCCTTTACATATCTTCCAAAATGATTTTCCTAAATTGAGGCTTGACCATGTCACTCCTTTACTCATAAACTTAAATGGCTCCCTATTGCCTCTAGGATCCCATTATTTGGCTTTTAAATGGACTTTGGACCCAACTTAATGTACAAAAGGAGTTAGGTCTATATGTAGAGGACATGTAGGGAGGGCTTAGGTATACCTCAAGACTCCTTACTGTGAGAGTCCTTTTGTTCCTTTCATGGAGGCTTCATAAAATTTCTCTGAGGCATAGTTCTTTTCCGGGGTCTGAAGATTAATGCATTTCTAGAGTCTATAGTCCTCTCTGTCTTGAAGAGGCATAATCCCTGATGACATTATTTCAATTTCCATCTGCAAGAGAATATTGTTGTAAGTCACTCTCTAGTGCAATCAGTTCTTCCCTCCAAATGCCAATAAGAACTTTAATGGCTCTGATGATCATCTGAGCACTCCTCTCTAGAATATTCATTTGCCTAAGATCAGGAAAGAATACACACAAAAGAAAGAGACAACATGCACTCACAGACACATGGTGATCAGGTAGGAAATAGAGCAATCATCTTTCCCTACCCAACAACATTTGGTATTTATGCCTCATTGTCAGGAAGAAAAAGAAACTCAGGGATTGGTGGGATCATGTTTGTGTTTGAACTCAGTTCCTGCTAAGCACATCATGAGTCCAGATTCTCAGAAAAAAGAGCCTTTGTGTAATTACACAATAAGAGCCTCTCAGTCATTCAAGTCTGGAAATGAGCTTGCCAAACTTCCACATTATAGATTGGAACCAGGCAGGGAACATCTGCATATATTTTGTATAACCACCAGAAAGGAAAGTCCAACCATGCTCTAAAAACTGGTCTCCCATTGCACCAAAAATTTCAATCCATATAACATGTCTTTTTGAATTTGTCTGCATAGTGATCTTATGTCTTCATAGTATTTAGTCCACTATTTGATCTTCTTACTTCTAACCAAAAAGAGCATGAGAGTTGGGTTTGTGATTGATCAGGTGGAGGATCTTCTTTTCAGTGGAAAAAAATTGTGCTTTCTGAATGAAATTCTGTTAAAACTATTATGAAGCTACTTTTCAAGTCCTTTCCTTGTTCTTATATACCAGCATAAGACCTATTCAGTAATCAGATGAGCTCCTAGGAGCCATTTTTAGGATTTCAAATTGCAGAGTTATGGGACTATATTTCCTCTGGTCAGAAAAGTTTTAACACCCCTCTACTTATCAGGTAAGGACAAATCCCAAAGCCTCACATTCAAGGCCCCTCACAGTCTGCTACCACCTTATCTTTCTGAAATCATTTCCTTTTTCTCTCTTCAATGCATTATAGGATCCCTTGTCAAACTGAACTGCTCTATAATATCTGAACACACCTTAACTCTCTTGCCTTTTTGTACCCCTACTCAGAAAAGCCTTTGGTTTACAGACAGAGGATGAAGGTTTAAATCCAGATTCTGCTGCTTACAGGTTGCAAAACCTAAAACAGGTCACTCGATCTCTCTGGCCTTAATTTCCTAATTTGTAAATTGAGGAGGATAGAATAGAAAATCTCTCTTATCTCTTGCAGCTCTAAAACTATGAAACAAAGAACCATTCCCTCCTATATCTCAATTTGGTCTTCCTCTCCTTTTTCTTAAAAAAAAATTAATCTAATTCTCATTCATCCTTTAAAGCTCAACTATGTCCTAGGAGAGGCAACTAAGTGGCACAGCGGATAGGACCCTGGGCTTAGAACCAGAAAGATTCATCTTCATGAGTTCAAATCTAGCCCCTGCCATTTACTAGCTGTGTTACCCTAAGCAAGTCGCTTAGCCTTGTTTGCCTCGATTTCTCATCTGGAAAAGGAAATGACAAACTCCTTCAGTATTTCTGCCAAGAAAACCCCAATTGGAGTTATGGAAAGTCAGACATGACTGAAAAATGACTTAACAACACATCTTAGGGAAGCTTCCCCTGATCTGCTAGGTGGCAGTGACAAATTTCCCCTTGGTATACCCCCTTTGTTATATACCTGTTATTTATACATCTCTCTAATGCACTTACCATATTCATTATGTGAATTATAGTGAACCACACTTGCATTTTATCCTTCTGTCAAACAGCAAGTCACGTGAGGACAGGAATTGCATCTTATTTAAAAAGTGTATCTATTGCAATGCCTAACCTTATTCTGCAAACATTAATGATTTTTTGAGAGGATGGGTTTGCTTCATAAAAAACATGCAATATTATCTATGAACATATTTATTTGAATACACTTGCCAAGAGAGAGCAGAATCAGTCCCAAGCATATAATACATTGGAATGATTACTGGAATTAGAAATGATCAGAGGTTGAGCCCTGGTTCTGTCCTTTGCTGCCTGTGTGACCATGGGTGGTAACTTCTGTCTGGGTTTGTCTCCTCATCTGTGAAATATGGACTCTCAGATTCTTCACAGAACTAAATCCACGATCCTATGACTTTACTGCTGTCCATACTTTCTTGCTATATCTACCCAAATCATCACATTCTAATCTTATTTCCTGAGGTGTAATGTAGTGGATCAAGACAAGCATCCAAGATAATTCCAAAGGAACCATGATGAAAAATATTATCTACCTCCAAAGAGAGAATTGATGAACTCTGAGCGCAGATTGAAGCATACTTTTATTTCACTTTCTTTATTTTTCTGCCCTACTGGTGCTCATATGTAAATATGTTTTATATGACTTCACATGTATAATTGATGTTATTGCTTTCCTTCTCAATGGGCAGGAAAGGGATAGGAAAGAATTTAGAATTCATAGTTTTAAAAATTAAATGTTAATTAAAAAAAATTAAAAAGTGAAGGAAAAAACACCTTCATATACACTCCCAAATCAAAGAGCACAGGATCTCATTCACTATTTTTGTTAAGTAAACGAACAGTGTTTTAATAAAACCAAAACTGTTTGAATGCGTCAACTCTGTTGGGATGTAAAATTTGTGGGAAAGCCTATAGAAATCCATTCTAATATTTTAACATTAAAAAACATAAAACTGTTTTACATTACTATAATACCAGCTTTCCCCAGCATCTAGGTCATTCTGCAGCAACCAAAAATTAATAACATCTCATTCCATATGCATAGGGAAAATGGCAGAAGTAAAATGGCAAACACAAAACATAACATGCCCCCAAATTCTGTGTGTGTGTGTGTGTGTGTGTGTGTGTTGTGTATTTTTCAATAAAGAAGCATTAATTTTCCATGGATACTTGACAGTCAAATCTTCTTGGCCTTCCCAGTTTAGCAGGGGTATTAACTGAGCAGTCATTAAGTCTGCTTCTGTGCTGAGCTAAGGCTTGGTATTGGATAGACTTCAGTCAAAGGAACTTTTAAAAAGGCATATATTTTTGGATTTAGTTACTCTGATTAAAATTGAAGATATCATTCACACATTTAGTGGGGTTTCATGAGTAAGAAAAAATAAAATGTAAATCACCAGACTCAGAGTGGTTGAAAATGGGGAATAAAACATTCACCAATTTCCGAGCCATTGGTTCAGGTATAGTCCGTGAGTAGTCTTTTTTTTTTCTTTTTTAAGGGGTTGGAAGGGAGCAAGAGGTAAATTGAGAGAGTGTGAAGCTGAACTAGAATTCTACCTTTATTGTGTAATTTATAAACAAAGTTCTTGGCATGCAAATTATAACTTGTCTAGAAACCTTCCCTCCCTCATTAAAACAAGCAGAAGCCTGGCAAGGACTGAATAATTAATACCATGCTGGCATGTTCGTCAGGCATGCGAATTATTGCCAGATTAGACACCAAGCTTGGAAAAATGAGCCACCTCTCAAGAATGGGTGAGTTTGGGATTATTAATGATAATAGTGATTCTACAAATTATGCCTTCCTGGTTGTACATGAACAAAAGCTCTAGTTCTGCCTCAGCTACATTGACCAATCACATTTATTATTAGAATGTGCCAAACATAAAGTCCAGAGGTGAGAGATAGACCATAAGTTATTCAAGGAGAAAGATCATTTACTCTGGAGAAATGGACTGGGTTGAAATTCTATGCCTGTTGCTTACTACCTGTGCTATGGTGGGCAAGGACCTTATTCTCTCTTTAGCTTGGTTTCTTTATCTATAAAATAGTAAGGTTG